CTGATGACTTCCTTGGTGCCATAATACCTGAAGAACAAGAAGTATCAACCACCACTACCTCAGCCGAGATCGACGAAAAAGATGAAGCTGTCCACAAGTCCCTCCCTCCTAACGTCCAAGAACTGGTCTCCAAGTACCCAGATGTCTTCGCGCCTTTTGAAGGCCTTCCTCCGTCCCGACCTACTGACATGAAAATTGACCTCGATCCAACAGCAAGTGCTGAACCTCCCTACCGACCCATCTATCCCATGAGCGCTCCAGAACTGAAGGCTCTTCAAGAAGAACTTACCTACCTCCTCAAGCATCACCGCATCAGACCTTCCACCTCGCCCTTTGGCGCTCCTGTCTTCTTTGTCAAACAGAAAGACAAACTCCGCCTTGTATTTGACTACCGCGCCATCAACAGACTGACCGTCAAGAACCGCGCCGCCCTTCCCAACATCCTAGAATCCCTCGACCGCCTCTCCAAGGCCAAATTCTTTACCAAAGCCGACTGCAAGTCCGGTTTCCATCAAATCAGGATTGTAGAATCTGACATCCCCAAAACTGCCTTCCGCACTAAATACGGCCACTACGAATGGGTTGTTATGCCCTTTGGCCTCGCCAACGCTCCAGGTGTTTTCCAGACCACACTCAGCACAATCTTCCAAGACTTCATTGACGTCTTTGTCATAGTCTACATCGACGACATCCTCATCTTCTCTGACAATGAACAAGACCATCTCCGCCATGTCGACATGGTACTCCAGCGACTCCAAAACCACAAACTCCACCTACGCCTCTCCAAGTGTTCCTTCTTCCAGACACAACTCGAATATCTCGGTTATCAAATCAATAGAGGATCAGTCTCTGTCCTTCCTTCCAGAACTCAGTCCATCAGAGATTTTGAGGAACCTACCTCTTTCTCAGAACTCCGCTCCTTCCTCGGCCTTGCCAATACTGTCCATCGCTTCATCAAAAGTCACGCCTCACTTGTCGCGCCTCTCTCTGACCTCCTACGAGACCACAAGACAACCTCCTTTACCGACAAATGGAATGACACAGCGCGTCATCACTTCCGCGAAATCAAGACCCTCCTCTCATCCCCAGCCATGCTCGCCATCTTCAATCCAGAACTTCCTGTCCACCTGTACACTGACTGGTCCGCCCGCGCTGTTGGGGGATACATTGCTCAGCCTGACTCCAATGGCATCGATCAGCCCATCGCCTACTACTCCCGCAAACTCAAGCCAGAAGAAACTCGTTATCATCCCTGCATGGGTGAAATCCTCGCCCTCGTCGAATGTCTCAGATACTACCGTCAGTACCTCCTCGGAAACAACGTCCTCGCCTTCACAGACCACCAGTCCCTCCGCCACATTCTCACGCAACCCAAGCTCCGCCCCGTCCATCACCGTTGGCTCGCTGACCTTCTCGCCTACGATTTCCAGATTCAGTGGACACCGGGGGAGTGGAATACCATTGCTGACGCACTGTCAAGGCGCCGCTTCGCTACAGATGCATCTGTTCAAGTCAACACCTACAAGAACTCTGTCCACACCATCCTCCAAGTACCAGAATCATACCTTCTCCTCAATACAACCTCCTTGACAATCACTGATGACCTCACGGCCGACATCAAGGACATGAACACTACCGACCCTCAGTTCCTAGAAATTGCACAATACCTTGTTGATCCACTGAATCCAGACACATTCGATAACGACCCATCCAAAGCTCCCAAGCACCTAGTCTCTCAGATAGCACGTTACCGCCTACGAGATGGACTCCTCCACTACGTTGACAAGACTCACGCCCGTCTCTACGTCCCAGCCCCTCTCCGTCACTCACTTCTTGAAAAAGCTCACTCTTACGGTCCAGCCATCCACAACAACTGGGAACGTACCTCAGAACGACTCACTCGCTACTTCCACTGGCCCAAGCTTCACAGCGACGTCCAGCGCCTTTGCCAAAACTGTGACAACTGCCAACGCCTCAAGGTAGCTCGTCACGCTCCATACGGACTCCTCCAGCCTCACGATGTCCCACCTTATCCATGGCACACCTGCTCAATGGACTTCATGACCAAGCTCCCACTCACCAAGTCTGGATACAATTCTCTTATGGTAGTCGTCGACTCTGGAACTAAACGCACAAGACTCATCCCATGCCACACCACCTCTACTGCACGCGACATTGCCAACCTGTTTGAGTTACACATCTTCCCTCACCACGGCATTCCAGTCCACTTCATCTCTGACCGCGACGTCAAGTTCACCTCCAACTTCTGGCAAGAACTCTGCAACTCCCTCAAGATAAAGCTCACCATCTCTACCTCCTCGCATCCACAAACTGACGGCCAAACTGAACAAAAAAAACGACTGGGTCCTCCAAGCCCTCCGACATTTTGTCGCCCCTTACCAAGACGACTGGGACGAGCATTTGCCCAAGATTGAGTTTGGTATCAACGACACTGTCAACTCAAGTACTGGCTACACACCTTTCTACCTCGAATACGGACGACATCCTCGCTCTATGATCAATATTGACATACCCTTCTCTGCCCCGTTAACCATCAAGGACGTTCGGGCTGAGTACCAAGTCGTCAAGGATCGAATTCGCGATTCACAAGACAAGTACGCTGCAATTGCAAACCGAAAACGCCTTCGTTCACCATTCCAAGTCGGAGACCTCGTTCTTATATCCGCCAAGGAATTCAAACCTCCCAACCTTCGTTACCGCCAAACCAACAAACTTTCAGAACAATACTCCGGACCTTACCGAATCATCGAACTAGTCGGAGCAGCCCTGTCATGCAAGCTTGACTTACCACGAGATTGGGGAATTCACCCTGTCTTCCATCCTGAAAAACTCAAACCTTACTTCTTTGACGCCGCTAAGCATCCTCTTGAACATCAGTCTATTGCCGTTCGGGCTATCGACAAGGTCCTTTCTTCCCGCACTCTTGAAGGTCAACAACAAGTACTTGTGCAATGGAAGGATCATCATCCAGTGTTCAACTGTTGGTTGAATGCTACGCCAGAATTACTCCGTCGAATCCAACAAGATAAACCTCCACCCAGTTCACTGCCTTTTTCATCGCGTTCGCTCTTGGAGGCGGGTGTTACGTAATCAACTCGATTCCGTCACGCGTCTCTAATTGAGAACAATGGACACTCTTTTTCTTGACCGTACACAATGACATCACCTCCACAATGCCTCATCACCAATCGTTTCTTGACTGTACACAATGACATCACCTCCACAACGCCTCATCACCAATCGTTTCTTTCCTCTTTATTCAGTAACGCTATTTAAAGCGCACGTTATCACTTCAATAAAGATCAGTCTCCTCTCAATCTTCTCTCTGTTCTTAGCACTCTCCAACTCAATCCAAACTCCTTAATTGATCACGTAGCCATGCCGCAGCTCTTGGTCAATTCCCTATCATTTCGTGTTACGGAAATAAAGCAATGTTGGTTGATAGATGATCTTTATTGGTAGAAGGACACTGGCTTTTATACTGCTGTGGTGAGGGTGATTTGAACTTTGTTGTTTTCGAGAAGTTTCTATCTCGGGAATTTTGAAGGAAAAATTTAAGTCAAGTAAAATGGACACAATGGAGGAAATGGCGTTATTACGCAACATTTCGCATGGACAGATGGCCGAGTTGGTCTAAGGCGCCACACTCAAGTTGTGGTCTAGTAATAGGCGTGGGTTCGAATCCCACTCTGTTCACCCTCTTTTCCTCCTTCACCTGTTCTCTGTTCACTTTTGTCGTACAAAAGAGCAGTCAATTTTTGCAACCCGTTCCCAAACACCCTTCCACTTCCCTTTGGGGTGATGGTAAAACACTCTCCAACTCTCTCTGCCCTGCAGATCCTGATGATATGTCTGTCTGCTTGTTCTTCTGTACAGCGCTGTTAAAACACCTTCGAGATGAAGCGTCAAGGGGATGAATGTAGTTTATTTGTTGGGCCTCTTTATGAAAGCATTCTCTCATGCTGGTGAAGTTTCTTACTTCACTCACTTGCTGTGCATCATCTCAGAAAATGTCGATAGTATTTCCATCAAGCGCTCAGGAGCAGTACAGAATCATACAGCAGGAGAAGGGCAGGCAGAGGATGTCAGTGTTCGCAGAATCAGAGACATTGGAATGGGAGGAGTTGGGCTTTCATCATTTCGTTTGTAAAAATAGAGCAGGATGCTCGGCGTCAGCTGGTGGCAGTGAAAGACCAGCCACACGCATTTTCCAGGGTCTGTGCAAGCACAGATGACCGAAAACAGTGGTCCAAAAAATATTATGATAATGGATTTAGTTATCACACTAAATAGAACAGATACTACACTTGATCTTAGCCAATATAGGCTTGAGAGGAATGTGCTTTTCAACTCAAGTGCGCTCCCCTGTTTTTTATACCCTTTTTTTTGTGAATTTGGTGGCTCAGCAGGTCGGATTGCCAGATCATGCGCAGTTTTTACGTTGCTTCACCACAGTCCAGCGACGGCAAACGAGTCCATGCTTAGGATTCAACAGGCATATCGCACGCAACACGTTGCATATATGGTGATTTTGGGGGCGATTATGTCGGCAGTTGGGTTGGGATGGAATCTAAAGGGTATTAGGGACACCAATGAATCTCTGGGACGTTGCATTGTGCCTACCTTGAGAATGCATGGTTGTTCAGGGTACCACGCAACTGTTACGACAAACTTGCGCGGGAAAAAAAGGTAACAAATTAAAACCTGAATGCGCGTGTAAAAAGCCACTGTGTGAAGTCAAGGGTCTTTGCAGATACTAAATACGTCAAGACGATTTTGGGACGAATTAAAGCGCGCATTGTTTGCAAGTTTCTAAGGCATAAGATAAACGTATCGTCATACTGCGCAGGCCCATGACATTCATTTTGAACAGGTCATCTTGTTGGGTTTGGAAATAAAATCCCAGGAGATTAGCCTTTCATGGATTGGTGATGCGCAAAATGTGTGCCGCATAATGTAAATGATATTAAAAGAGGGCGTGAGCAAAGTGGGGTTTGAACCCACGCATCCGGAGATACCAGGGCCTAAACCTGGCGCCTTAGACCACTCGGCCATTTGCCCGATGGGGAGTAAAACGTTTTAACCAATTTAAATTATTTATTGACTTGCATCTGGGAACAGCAAGTATGAAAGATGATTCTCAGCGTAATTCAAAGTCGGTATGCATTCTTTCAGCAGTTTACTGTCATGATCCAGGGACCAAGCTCGTCGAAGATAGACCTTCGGTAACTCTACTAAGCAATAGCCTATGAATGCTCAGGGAAGCGGGACGTTGCACGAACGTTGTTTCAATCTGAAACACGTGCCGTTTTGATCGAAATTAATCGACCCAGAATAAAGTCCATTTACGTTTGACTTTATACTGTTTTTATTGAACTTAAACACGAGAGAGCATGTCTACATCTGACATTTGCAACTTGACTGTTCGCAATACGATGAACTAATGCCCGTCAAACCAGAATGCGGGCAAGACCTTCAATCCATTGTCCATCCGCGACAACAGGCTAAGACTTGCAGGCAAATATTGGATTGTCAGAATTCGGTAGGAAATGCAAGTGCCGCGTTCGACGACATTGACGCTCAACTGTCGGCACTGAGGGACATTGAAGTTGTGGGCGCGGGTGTCAGTGCAGCGCTGCTGGTAGCGTTGATTGCTACGATTCATTTCGAGTTGCGAGCTGCAAACGCGTCCATCACTTTTCGAAGCGTGTTCAACCCTTTTAATGCGTCACTCCTGCTGATGGGATGTTCGCTCGCGATTCTGCAGATTGCGAGTTCGCTGTATACAGAGATCACACTCCATCTTCACACAGTCAGCTTTCTGGTCGTGTATTGTCTCCTCAACACCTTCACATAAATGACCCAGTATGGATACATGCTCTACTCCTGGCATCGCGGTGCTGCAGTGCTGCGCCATATGTTCCCACAGTATGCGACGTACTTTGGGGCCATCTTGGTTGTCGCACCAGTGTTGTTTGCAGCCACCATATCGGTCGATATGTACAAGACCTACTTGATTGTGGACGGCCAAAACGTACCAATTGACACGCTTTGGGCTGCATTCATATTTCTGCCTGGCATCACAATCGTAATCTACGACTTGACGATGCTTATCACGTTCACAGTGTTCACGGCATCTACAAAGTACCAGAAAGAGCTCGACCCGCGCTTCCTGATTATATCTCGATACGGAATCCCGGCGACTGTGTTTACGATCGGGACTTTTACAACATACGTCGTGAGTTGCACGCTTGTCACCGACTATGTGCTGTCCCACGCCATGTTTGTCACTATTACGATCCTGATGCAGCTGTGCTTTATCACTCTGTTTGCCATGAAAGTGGCTCTGTTTAACGAGAGTCGGCGCAAGAAAACAAACCAGAAGGAAATGTTGCATCGGGTGCTCGGACCTGAGGTTGTCACTCTTATTCGTGTCCAAAGCCAAGGACAGTCTCAGAAGAAGCGTCAGCCGCATTCTGACGATGCAAAGTTTCCAAAAGAATTGTCGGTTTCCGTGGCTGGTTGATATTGCATTTTGGATCCACTCACACGAGTTGTTCACTGCGGCAACTTTGTCACGCAAAACGCAAATACGCAGATAAGAAATTTATAGTATCTGACTTGCTGAATTCCAAACAACACTCTCAATCGCCGCCGCGTCAACTCTTCCCATGTTGAAACAATGAATCGAAGCCGTTTTCCGCCACACAGCTTCATGGTCCAGCATCAACTGCACACTCATTGCTGCCCCAGAAACCTTGTGAATCAATTCGTCTGAAAATATTCCCCGCCGAGCTTCCAACAATACTTGAACCATGGAGACCGCCATTGCTTGGATAACCGCTTTCAAAGAATAAAGAAAAGCATTAGATTCGCGAAAAAGGAAGCAAAGCGGAATACAAACATATCAGTTCCAAGTCCTGTATTTCCTTCATAATGCTCGCATTCAATCTCGCCGGGATTTCCCTCGTGGCTTGCTTTGTTGCTTCTTGGAGAGCCTCAAGATAGAACCACAAAGTCTCCTCATTCAATCGTGACTGACTCAGCTGCTTGCCATTTTCTTCGACAACTCCAGATACCGCGACAGCCAAATTCGAATGAATCGTTTTGAGAATCGAAAACACGGACACATGGCACAAAGCCGCGTTCGCGATGCCCCCTGCGCAGGAAACAATCCTCGATACTTGCTCGCGTGGGTCTTTAAGCAGTGCATCCAATTCCGCCGTGGGAGTTGAAGTCGGGGTATCGCGAATTGAAACGCTTGCATGAAGGATGTTGGTATTTTCCGCAATCGCAGCCGTCATTGTTGGAATTAACTGTAGCACTTTCATCATGGAACCGTGAATAATCAAGATAAAATCGTTTCGCGTTTCTTGGTCAAGGGAGATGTTGCAGGAGAGCAAAGCTGCGGGGGTGGCAGGAATTCATCGAGTCATAGTGCACTAAAAAAGCAAATATAGCAAGTTTACCGTAAACTTTCTGAATAATCGAATGCGAGACTTGGATGACTTGCAGACATACATCCGTTTGATCAAGTGTGACGGACGGCTCGAGCCGAGCCAAGATCGAGTCAAGCAAACGCGTCGCCACATTTGCGATTGTTTGTGAATGTGGAGCCAAGTTTAACGAAGCTGGGTGGTTGGTTGCATCCAGAAGTGCCTTGAACGTTTCCATGAATTTAATGTCGTTCAAGAGTGAGTCATCACGCGCTTTGCTTTTGAGTAACGCGCAGGCTGCAGTGCATATTGCGAACAAGAGATTCGAGTTAATTGACAGGACATGCAAAAACGACAGGGGGTTCAAGCAATGGGACTCGGTGCACGCACAAGCACGCACCCTTTTCCGCCGCAGCTTGAGCAGCCTTGTCAAAGCGAGAAAGTGGCGACTTTTTCGGACGCGGTTTTTTCTTGACAGAGGCGCCACCTATACACACCAACGTCAGTATTTCGGACATGAACAAAGACACAGAAAAAAAGTTGCGTACTTGCGTCGGTGGTACTATTCATTTCCGAAATGGTTTTCTCGAGAAAAGATATTCGGGTAACATGAAGCGCATTCTGCTCATGCACTTGTTGCGTCTGCTGTGAGGCAGGGGAAGGGTCTTGGATCGAGGCTGGTTGGGTGGCTGGGTCCGAGGGCGTGGAGACGCGTCGAGAGGAGAGAACAGCAAGGGCCTGTTGGTTGTTCGTGTGTGTCGTGGTTATTGGGTGGACTGAGTGCGTGATGGAAGGAGGATGCGCACAAGAGCCACGCTTGAAGTGAAGTCCATTTTTCAATAAATATTTACGCATTGGAAATATTTCTTAAAATCAAGCTCTAATGTTTGGACAGGCAGTGGCGACGGGTGAACTGGACTTACCGAATCCATGCATGCGCATTGCTCACATCCAACCAATAAACAGGGTCCTCCTTCTTCGGACAACAGACACAAGCACAGCCGCAAACCAGTCTATTTGGTGCGCAAACACCGCAAGCGAATGCTTCCTCTTCGCTGTTTGGCGGGTCCGGCCAGTCGGCAAACAACGCGCAAACTATCAACAACAACGCAAGCATGGGCTTTGGCGGAATGAATACGCAGCAGCAACAACAGCAACAACAACAACAGCAGCAACAACGAGTCGTGACTGTGCTGGACAAGATTCGGGAAATTCAGGCATTCTGGGACCCAAACAGTCCCACATGCCAGTTTCGGGTTTGGTTTCTTTTTTATTCTTTTGGTTTGTGCGTCATCTCATGGTTCCGTTCTCGCCAGCACTATTTCTACAACATGGTGCATCCAAATGAAGTGCACAAGTATGGATGCGGCCCGAACCATGATCCAACGCTGTATAATCAGGCTGTGCAGGATAACCCAGATCCAACCTGGTACTGCATTACTGACATCCTCATGAACGGATAAGCAACGGGACGGTTTTATCTAACTCCTTCATGTTGCAGCATGGTTCCAGTTCTTGCAGTGGGATTCGAACACTTGAAAATGCGTATTGCCGAGCAAGACGGCATGAGTGATCAACATGAAGCGAAACTCGAGGTATGATGGGCATATTTTATTTGGCGCAATTTTTTATGACAGTGTCGAGGCTGAATGCATGTCCCACATCATGCTTTTGCAGGAACTCGCAGAGCGATTGAACGCGATTGAACGAAAACACTACCTCGAAACAACTATCAAGCTGGACGAATACCGGCGTAGACATGTGGAGCTTTCTCAGCGAGTTTTATCCGTTGAGTGTAGATTGGATGAAAAGGGAACGTAAACCCGTGCGATATTCATCCCACACACACACAAACAAAATCACAGATTATGAAAACGGTCGAAGTCCTCAGAAATAAGGGATACCCAATTCGCGGCGAAGAAGAGTCACTGCGCGGACGCTTGGAAGCCATGAGCATGCAACTTAAGAAACCAGCGCATTTTCGTGGACGGGTGCAGGAGCTCGAAGCGTCTCTGCGAATGCTCAAAGACGCGCGACGCATTGATTCAATTGCGTCAGTTGGAGGTGGTGGTGCGTATGTGGGTGGAGATGGATCACAAGGAATTGACTTTACTGAAGACCAAATTGGACATGTTGCGGAGGTGAGTCTGTTTTTCCCTTCATTATCGCGTACCTGACTCGATTCTTTGTCCGCGCTCAAGGCCCTCGGAACTGCTCAGCAAGGGCTGAAAAATCTGACTGAGTTGGTGGAAGAGGATGGAAAAGTTGTTGAAGTCATGAGTCGCGGTTACTCTGAGAGTATTTACAGAAGAAATTGACGCAGGGTCCTAATAAAGAAGTCAGTTGCATTGATTTTGTACACTCTCTGTCTGATATCCGCAACGCAAATAGAGGTCTGTCTGCTCAGGGACATCAACCTTTCCCGGAAGCTTCTGCACTTGGTTGGAAGCATTGAAGACTCCTTCTTGCCAACCTCAGACCAGGTCTTGCTTTCCTTTCCGCAAGGTCTCTCAAATCCATGCCACCAGAGATTCTTGTTCAACAAGTTGCATCCTTTTGTCCGGCTGATCCCGCTTTGGGCTGGACCAGGACCATGGCAAAAATTTGGGATTTCTGAAATCCATG